CATATATATAGACACACACATTAAAAAAACAAGTGAGGGTAGAAAAAGTTTGAAGGACGTGCGATAATTATTCTTCATCTCATTAAAGATATGACCACCTTCACACAATATTTTTTCTTCTATCTTTCTTTATTTCAAGAACTTTCTTAAGCATATCATAGAACATATTAATTAAATATCTATTACATGGTACATTATAAGAATGTATAAATATGAAATGACAAATTTCTTTTCTATGTAAATAAATGCAATTAAAACAACAAATAGACCCAAAAGGGTCTAACAAAGTTAGTAAGTTGCGTATGAGTAGTACTCCAAAGTCTCAGGTTCGACACTCCTAAAAAGCACCCCACACAAATTTAGTTTCGTGGGATACCCAAGGCCTTGTGTTAGGGGGTGGCTCCTTTAGCCACGCAAGGGTTTGATACCCATGGTCCGAAGGATCATGAGAAAGTTCCCTCGCCAAACCAAAAAAACAACAAATAGAATTTCAATATATTTCAACATATATTATGAAAAGTGTATATCTAATATTTAGCTTTAAAATAATTAAATAAAATAATTTGAAAATAAAATATAGAAATAACTCTTCTTAATGGTATATCTAGGAAAATTACGTATGTCATTACTCAAATCAAAATGTATGTCATAGTCAATATTGAGTAAGGTAAGACAAAATGCCGCATATTAAATGAGCAAATATTATAAAAAGATCTTACAAACTTCTATGACACTTTAAACTATAAAAATGATTAGAATAATTAAGTTTTAATATTGGTTGCACGTGCATTTGCACGTGCAATAATGCTAGTGTGTGTGCATGCGTGTTTGTCATTCTTTCCCTTCTCTCTTCTACAGTATTTTGCTAATTAAATAAGCATCCAGTTAAATTGTGAAATGTGAAGACTAAGTAATAGTATAATTAAACACTAATGCAATGGTTCAATGGACGGTTCTGCACCTAATTCTTTCCACCATGTTTCTAATTTTTGTTATGTTTCATATTTTTAAAAACTAATTTAGGTAATAAAAATTAAAAATCAAAATAATAATTAGTTGAAGTTTATGCTCCTCTATGCAAAGGGTTATCGCTTCTCTTTAAGCTTTAGTATTATATTTTTATTCTCATAACAATTATTATCTTATAATAGTCATATTTATTTATCATGAATATACAAGTGCGAATCATAACCAACTTCATGTCCTTAGCTCCACCTATCTAAGAAGTGCTACATTGCTATGTTCCACATCCCCATATCCAAAATGTAGAGTAAGATTGATTAATTTTCCTGTTTGTTGCTATGATCTGTCAAGAAATGTCAAAGAGTAGCTAAAATACCTATCAATAGAAATCACTACTATTACAAATAGATAAAATTTACAAGCATGGACAAATTTTAATTCATTAGGGAAGAAATTTACCTTCTGACGGGTCAGTTGTCAATGCTCCAGCATGTTGCAAAAAGTATGAAGATGATATCAAAAGAACGGCCGCCAGTACAACACGTTTAACTCCAAGCATTGTAAGGGCACTATCCGGAACAAGTCTAAATATCTATAACCAAAAATTGTTCACAAATAAGAACTGCTCTTCAGCCCAAATTTAATAATCATAGCTTTAAAATATTTAGTTTATCATTTACAATGAATATTAGATTCAAAATTAAGAAACAAAACACGACATAAATAAATTTTGATATCTAACTTTCTATAGAAAGCATAAATTTGTACTGATATATTATATGATGCTATGCATGGCCGTCTGAAGCTGACGTAACAAAAGACATGTATAAGGTTTCGACTTTCCACATTCATGGTGACAGGCATCCAGACAAAAATTAGTCTCCTTAATTAAGGCTATTAATTTGGTCGGTTAAGATATTGTAGAACCCAATATGTCTTCCTGAGGAAAATTGTAGAGAACTATTTTTCTCCCAATTAAATGAAAATAATAAGAGAGAAATCCAAGAGTTTGTAACCGGCGAGTTTATTGGGAGAAGTTATCAGAATTATTGTCCTAGAATCAATGGGAAAATCGGCTGCAAAACTCAATGGACATTGAAAACCCTATAATCTGTATCCAAATCCCACAATTGGCATCACACAAAAAAAGAAAAAAAAAGGCAAGGAATTGCTAGGAACAAGCACATAGGAGGAAATAAGCACCTTAAGGATAGTTTTTTTCCTTTGTTTTAATTAGATTTAGATTCATACACAGAATATCTTTTCCCGACGCTAGCTGTTGCCCTCTCCAGCAATGTTCGACGATCTCCGACCACCATCAGTCATGGGTACAGTCGGAGGTGGCCACTTAGGCCACGAACTCATCCAAACTTTGGGTTTGATTCTAGAAAGGAATAAACAAAGAATGAAGATGAAGTTTTGAGAAGAAATAGGAAGTTTTAGTTTAACCCCTAATTTTTGGGAATTTAATTTCTAGTCCAAAACAAAAATGCATACAGAAAATTAGTCTCCGGAAAAACTACCTTCAGTCCCTTTCAGCATAGAAATTTTACAATTAGGTCCAAATTTTGTTTAAGAATAAAGATAGAAACAAAATTTGGGAAAAGTCTCTAGAAATCAGAAACATTAGTTTTATAACCAAATAGTTTGTGTATAGAATCGTTAGTATTAGAGTATTTACGCATATTGTATGCTTATAGGTTTGATAAAGGAGTAAGTATCTTGCAGTGTAGTTCTTTAAAAGTTTTGTTAGATTTGTCAAGGTGAGCAGATTTCTTCTCATTAGTTTTCTTTAATTATTCAAATAATAAATTTATTTTTATAGATAAAATTTTTGGATCAGACATGTTATTTCCATTCACTTATAGTAATTGTTAAAGGAATTTGAATCGTGATAGCTATTTATTTTTTACGAAATAAATATTGCTAAGTATATGAAGTTATTGAAAATTTGTCATTTTAAACTTACTATTCAAATGCATTTATTGAAGAGTTTATAATTGACAAAAAATTTATTTATTTTAGATTCAGGAATGTCCTATTTTCACGAAATAAACATGAGCAAATTTTGAAAACTATTAAAGCATTTTTATTGCTTTTCATGCCGGTAGAAATTACAAATGATATTTTGAGTGAAAAGAATGTGTTTCTCAATGTTAAAAATACTCAGAAGTCTACTATGGAGTGAAGTGATTTGTTTAAGCCTATCATATGGTATTGAATGTACCAACCAGTGTTGAAGTGGTCTTTTTGGCAAAAATAAAGTGGCATTTGAGCAACCTATGATATTGTTAGGTAAATTCTATCCCTGGGTTGACCAATAGTGACAAATGCGCATTTCCATGATACTAAGCTATAATTTTCGTAGCCTTAGTGTGACAACTTAGTAAGTTTTGCAAAGTGTGATTTTATAATGAAGAAATTTTCGATTTAAACCCATTCCAACTTTTTTTTCTAAAACTGACCCATTCTCATTTTATTTACAACAACCGACCCACTTCGTGTTCACGTCAGCATCGTGGCCACGAAGTGAGGCGATATTTTTTAAACTCGTTGCTAAATAGTCGGGGTTGCTAACCCCGACTATTTTGCACACCCTGTCTAATAAACATGCTAAATTAGTCGAGATTGTCAACCCCGACTAATTTAGCACACTATCTAATTGGTCGAGGTTGGGAACCCCGACCAATTCGAAAGCCTTTTTTCGAAATGATCGGGGTTCCCAACCACGACCATTTAGCAGAGACTTTTGTACCCGCGGACGAGTCAAGCTGGAAATGGCTAAGGGACCAAATAGTCGGGGTTGGCAACCCCGACTATTTGGCCCATGGGCCCGACCCCTATATAAACCCCCAACCGTTCTCCCCACCCCCCACTTCGTTCCCAGTCACCCCAAAACACTCCCAGCCCTCCAACTTTCTTCCCCAAACCCTTATTTGTCACAAATATTGGATTTCAATCTCAATTTTCAACCCAATTTCATCGTGAAGCTTCTGAGTGGTAATTTCTCTACATTCTCTCCTCTTTTAACATGTAGAAATCTAGGGTTTTTTTTCTCAAAAACGAATTTCTAGGGTTTGAACTCTATTTGTAGTGGTTTATTTAGAAAATTTATTCTTTTTACAGTTGAAATTAAACATTTAGGGCATAGAATACTTAATTTTAGGGTTTAGGATTTGGGGGTTTATGGTTGTAATTGGGGTTTAGGGTTATAATTTGGGGTTTAGGGTTGTAATTGATAATATTTTTGAAATTTTTTGCATTTAAATGATATAATTTTCTTTTGCATAGGTTGAACAATATGATTTTTATTGCTTGCTCTTATGATAGAAAAATTAATTATGGAATGAATAATATGCCAATATATGTCGGAGGGGTGACAACGCTGTTAATGATCTCGGAATCATATAGTTACCTTGACTTGGTTAATGAATTACATCGAGTTACGAAAATTGATCCACGAGAGTACCGACTAAAAATAATATGTAATTGGCCCATAACTTTTGATGGAATATCTGCAATTGAGATCTCAAACGATCATCATATGAGTATTATGTTTAATTTGAGCAAATCACAACCAACAGTAGAATTGTTTATTGAAAAGTTGCCACATAGTTTGTGCCAAATATTCAACCCTCCAGGAGAATTCTCACGCATGTTAGATTTTGGAGTTGAGTCTGATGGTTTTCTTTCTTTTTCGAGTGAAATTGAACAGACTCAATTTTAATATCACAGGGGTGCACCTTCATTCGGTGGAACGTCAAATTTTATGAACAATGAAGTCTTTCATGAAAATATGAGGCCGTTAAGAGGGGCAATAGTTGGAGAGGATGAAAGAAGCAACGCCTCTGAAGGTGAAGATGAAGATAGTGCACCAATTGACAGCATGCAATTTGTGAGTGAAGACGATGAAGAGAATCCGGATTGGCCCGATGAAGCTTATGTTAATAATGAATATGTTGAGTACGAAGAGCCACCCCCGACGAGTTTGAAAATGATGAATGGGTTCATTCTTCCACAGTACAAGATATGCGCATTGGCGAAAGTTCATCTCATAGAGAAGATGATGAGGTCCCTTTTAGAGTTGGTGATTTATTCGAGACTAAAGACCAGTTGGTTGATGCTATTCGTGATTACTCAATCAAAAAGTTGGTCAAATTCAAGCAAATTAAAAGCAATCGCACAAGTTATGAGGCAATCTGTTTTATGAATACACAAAGACAATGTTGGGCCGAGGGGAATGAAGCTGATTCCGCATGTCCTTAGAAGTTATATAAATTTGCCGGAAAGAAACATAATGGATATTTTAAGATCACAGAATACTACTGTGTTCACACATGTAACAATCCAATGTTCGAGAAAGATCACAGTGGTGCTTCCGCCTCCTACATAGCTTGGTTGATTATGCCAAAATTAAAGAAACATCTTGAACTAAGGCTCGATAATATAATTGATAGAGTGTTACATACGAAGTTCATTGAAATATCGTATAGTAAAGCGTGGAATGCAAGGAGAATTGCGATGATAAAAATATTTGGTGATTGGGAGATGTCTTACGCGACACTACCTCAATATCTTGATGCGATCAAAAGAAGCAATCCTGGATCTAAATACAAACTCATAACCAAAGAGGTCAATCCGGGAGTTCAACAATTCACCTCTGTATTTTGAGTATTTGGTCCTTCGATCGAGGGATTTAAATTTTGTCGGTCGGTTCTTAGCATTGATGACACACACTTATACGGTAAATATAAGGGTCTATTGCTTGTCGCTACAAGAGTAGATGCAGATGGTGGCTTATTTCCTTTGGCCTTCGCAGTTGTGGAGGTCGAGAACAGTGAAAATTAGGAGTGGTTTTTTTCTTGCATTCAATTATATATTTTTAATGTGTTGCCTCCTAGGAAAATTATTTTTAATGTGTTTATTAGGCAGGGCGTGCAAAATAGTCGGGGTTGGCAACCTCGACTATTTAGCAACGAGTTTAAAAAAATCGCCCCTCTTCGTGGCCACGATGCTGACGTGGCCATGAGAGTGGGTCGGTTTAAAAAAAGTTGGAATGTGTTTAAATCGAAAATTTCTTCTTTTATAATTTAAAAGTATTTAGTGATTATTCATATTGTTTCTTAAATTTTGTGAATATTCTTTTACGACACTGTCACATGCTACTCATAAACTGAAATCCTATATGTTTCTCAAATTGTACTTTTTATAGTAGCTTACTAAATATAGCATTGATAATTTTGAAAACTAGTCTGATCCACTATGATAAGTTATCTGCTCACTAAGTGTAATCTCACTACCACTATTTTCAATATTTTCCAGATATGAATTAGATGGCTTTATCTATGGCATGGAGTTTTGAAGATATGAGAAGGATCTAGTAGAAAGTGTTGATGCTGAGTGTTATTAGTTATTTTAAGAGTAGCATTTGAGTTTATGTAATAAGAGTTCTTCGACTAATTAGAGTGATCTTGTTATGATGTAGTTTTGCTCTGAGCTTTCTATATATCAATAAAGTTTCTTTTAAGTGAAGTTTTATTTGAATTATGGAAGTGAACCACAAGCTAGACAGGTGCTCGCACGTGTCGCCAT